TCAGACCATACCACACGTGAACTATCATATGATTTAGTAAGAGATTAAAGTTTTGTAAACACTCTTTAACATATATTTTACCAAAAAGTGTACAATTAATTTTTATCTTGACAATTGACTAAATCAAAACTTTTTTAGCAAACTTACCATGCTTGTATTTAATATTCATATTTGCTTTTTTTCTATATTTCTGCATTATAATACACAGCCAGGAGTTTGCTGATGATCGTATTTTATATAATTTATATTACAGTTTATAACTTATATAACATTTAATAATACAAAAATTTTTAGAAATATAATTTTTTTGAATTTCATAATGGTAAGGCGCATTTTGTGATTTGAAAGCTTAAAAACATGTTTATTTCAAATTATTAGAACAAAATTATGAGTTATATGATTGGTCTATTTGTAAGAGGCCTGATGAATGTATATAGTGTATATGAGTGTATAAATTACGATGATTAGAGATTGGGAACAAAAAAACACAAAAAATTAAAATAGTTTTTGTACTATTTTCAACTAGACTTACATTCATTGATAAATTTTTCATAGTATTATCTGTCAGCGTTAAAAAATTATGACTATATAAAATTTGCAGCCCCCTCAAATTTAGGGGGATTTAAACTTTATATAGTCATAATTTTTGAACGCTAAAATATTTTACTATGAAATTTAAAATTTTTTGATGAGTATTTACTATGAAATTAAAACTTATTGATGAGTATAAGTCTTTATTTCTTTTTTTTCAGTTTTGTTGCTCCTAAAGCAGGTTTTTACATTGTGAGTGCTGGAATAAAAATGGTTCTGGTAAGTGCAATTGGTTCAAGCTTTATTTTAAATGTCGCTGTTAATGGAAATCCATCTAATTTACAATACCAAAATGGAATAGAAGACTATCTTCAAAATGGTAATGTTGCACCTACTAAGTAAATATCTTTCTTGTGGTTTTGTTTTATTATTGTTAAAATTTTTTGAAAAAGCAAAGTTAAAATTATAAATATTTTATGTACTTGTTACTAATAGGTACTAATAATTTTATTTTATCAGTTTTTAGTAAATTATGTCTTACTGTTTAGTTTTTAGTAAGTTATAATGTCTTTTATTTTTTTAAGTAAATTATAATGCTTTATTATTTAGTTTGTATACTATACTTTTTTTGGTCTTTTAAATAGTGATTTTTACTCATTGATTGTGTCTGGTTTGGTATTAGTTAATGCAGGTGACAGCATTGCACTTTATATTCAATCTGTTGCTGATCCATCTTATACAATAAGTCAAGACAGCTTTATGTCAATCGTTTTTATTAGCTCTACCAATGATTTATATTCATCTGGAATGCAGTTAATGCTAGATCCAACACTTGATCAACAGCAGAGTGCTTCTGATTGGTCTAAAGTTAAATATTGGCAGAGCAACTGGGTGAGCACTGCAACTGGTGTTTTCAGCAGTGGTAAGTTTTCTTTTTCTTTTTAAAATTTAGGTTTTTAAATTAAAGAGTTAAAAAATTAGATTCATCAATTGTCTCGCTAATACTTGATTAAAGTTTGCATTTAAAAATGGTGTCTTTTTAGAAAAATTTAAATTTTGTAACAAAAGCAATTAAAATATTTTTAAAAACATTTATTTGAGTAAAACATTAAATAGTGTTATTTGTTGAATAGCTTACGACATTTATAGTTTATTGGAGATCGGAAAGAAGTTTTTACCTGATCCATGTGGATGCATGATTCTGACTTTAATATCAAGGTCACTTACATCTTCAGCAATCCCTACTCACCAAAATCCATCATAAAAACATGCAATATAATCCATTTTTTTAATGTTCAATGAAATCTCTACATTATGTTTGCTTTATGGAATGATATCAAATATTTCAGTGCATGTATCAATACTTGTTTTTTTATAACTTATAGTGTTAAGAGCAATTGGAATAAAATGATTATACATCCTTGTACCAAAAACAGTTCTTCCACCTAAATATCTTTTTTCTAATTGCAATCGTGTTTGGTCGATTTCTTCTTTTGAAAATATCTTAAAACAAATTCCATTTATTTTGGCTTTACAAAATCAGTACATTAAATTAACATCTAAAATATGCCCAGTAGTTATTTGTTTGAGACTTTCTTGACACACTACTCTTTTAACAGTCCCACCAATACCATCACAAGGGGATTTACCATGACTGGCAGCAAAAAATACCCATTCAGCATTTAAATCAAAGTCTTTACTGTGATGACAAAAAATGATAAAAATTTTTAAATTTTTAAATTGTACTGCACAACTATCAGAAAAGTATTTCACACTCTATTTTATACATCTTCTTTTTCATTACATCAATCTTTTTTTCCTGGCATCATTCTTCAAAATTTGTCACTTTGATAAAAGTTAATCACTAAATTAACTGTTTCTGATGAACGTGGGTTTCCAGTTTTTTTTTCAGGCAATGATAGAATTCCATGCTCATTTTAAACTTTTCTTGCAGTTCAAGCAAGATACT